AGAAGTAACTTATACCGGAGGCAGAAAACACAATCTAAGCATATACTCCTAAGCTTATTAACTTTACTTATCTTCGGCGCCCTCGTTGCTATTCATTATCACTTTCCCACTCGTCAGCCGTTTCCCATTCCCCATATGATTCCCAGTCTCCTTCGATCCCTCGTATCGCTTCCCTTTCCCATTTTAGCAATGTTTCAGAATTAGATAAAGTGGTGGGATGGTCTACGCCGAGTATTTTCTTCTGCTTGGTTAAGCACTCTCGCAGCAGATTCATAGCTTTGGCATCGTGGGCTAAAGATTTCCAAGTAAAAGCGAGATTCGCCATGCTCGTCAGCGTAGAGGGATGATCCTCGCCAAGCTTCGTCTTGCGAGTCTTCATCACCTGCACGTCGAGCTGCTCCGCCTCTTCCCATCGGCCCTGGTTCCTATACGTCGACGCCAGGCTGGCCATACTGGTCAGCGTAGAAGCATGCTCCTCGCCAAGCTTCGTCTTGCAAGTCTTCATCACCTGCACGTCGAGCTGCTCGGCCTCCTCCCACCGGCCCTGTTTCCTGTACGTCGATGCCAGGTTCGCCATGCTCGTCAGCGTGTGAGGATGGTCCACGCCGAGCTTCGTCTTGCAAGTCTTCATCACCTGCACGTCGAGCTGCTCGGCCTCCTCCCACCGGCCCTGGTTCCTGTACGTCGACGCCAGATTACCCATACTGGTCAGCGTGTCGGGATGATCCACGCCGAGCTTCGTCTTGCAAGTCTTCATCACCTGCACGTCGAGCTGCTCGGCCTCCTCCCACCGGCCCTGGTTCCTGTACGTCGACGCCAGATTACCCATACTGGTCAGCGTGTCGGGATGATCCACGCCGAGCTTCGTCTTGCAAGTCTTCATCACCTGCACGTCGAGCTGCTCGGCCTCCTCCCACCGGCCCTGGTTCCTGTACGTCGACGCCAGGTTGGCCATGCTCGTCAGCGTGTCGGGATGGTCCTCGCCAAGCTTCGTCTTGCGAGTCTTCATCACCTGCACTTCGAGCTGCTCCGCCTCTTCCCATCGGCCTTGATTGCTATACGTCGACGCCAGGTTGCCCATACTGGTCAGCGTGTTAGGATGATCCTCGCCAAGCTTCGTCTTGCAAGTCTTCATCACCTGCACGTCGAGCTGCTCGGCCTCCTCCCATCGGCCCTGTTTCCTGTACGTCGATGCCAGGTTCGCCATGCTCGTCAGCGTGTGAGGATGGTCCACGCCGAGCTTCGTCTTGCAAGTCTTCATCACCTGCACGTCGAGCTGCTCGGCCTCCTCCCACCGGCCCTGGTTCCTGTATGTCGACGCCAGATTACCCATACTGATCAGCGTGTCGGGATGGTCCTCGCCAAGCTTCGTCTTGCGAGTCTTCATCACCTGCACGTTGAGCTGCTCCGCCTTTTCCCATCGGCCCTGGTTCCTATACGTCGATGCCAGGTTCGCCATGCTCGTCAGCGTGTGAGGATGGTCCACGCCGAGCTTCGTCTTGCAAGTCTTCATCACCTGCACGTCGAGCTGCTCGGCCTCCTCCCACCGGCCCTGGTTCCTGTACGTCGACGCCAGGTTGCCCATACTGATCAGCGTGTCGGGATGGTCCTCGCCAAGCTTCGTCTTGCAAGTCTTCATCACCTGCAACTCGAGCTGCTCGGCCTCTTCCCATCGGCCCTGGTTCCTATACGTCGATGCCAGGTTAGCCATGCTCGTCAGCGTGTCGGGATGGTCCTCGCCAAGCTTCGTCTTGCGAGTCTTCATCACCTGCACGTCGAGCTGCTCGGCCTCCTCCCACCGGCCCTGGTTCCAAAGCGTCGACGCCAGGTTAGCCATACTCGTCAGCGTTGAGGGATGATCCTCGCCGAGCTTCGTCTTGCTCGTCTCCATCACTCGCACCTCGAGCTGCTCGGCCTCCTTCCACCGCCCGTCAAGCCGATATGCTATTGCTAACATGCCTGTGCTATCAAGTGCCTCTTCATCCTCTTCACCTAGCAAAATAATTCTTTGTTCCCTTGATCTCGCTGCCATTTCTCTTGTATCCGTAATAATACCGCTTTCCGACGCATACCATGCGCCTCTATAAAGCAATGTAGCCCATAGTTCTCCATACTCAGGTGATGCCGGCCGTTGTGACATCGCAGCTTTGATATGAGGAAATAGTGGCCTGCATCTCTCCCAGTTTTCGTATTTACCGGTAGGAAACTCATCATATAGGATACGAATGAATCTCTCCCGAAATTGATTTATTTGTTTATGAGATTTCAACCACGCACGCATTGTGAGTTGCACTAGCCGATGCATGGTAAAAAAAGTGTTGTCCTCGCTGATAGAGATGAAAGAAAAATCCCGCAGTGTTATGACATCATCTTCAAAATCCGGACGTGAATCAGATTCAGATGTTTCCCTATCACTAGAGTCACTTAGAAGCTCTGAAATCGATGTGTCGTTGGCTTTGGGTTGATTCCGGATAAGGCTCTCCGGTATCCCTTGCCGATCGAATAAGCTCATGAGAGAAAGTAACTCTGCTGCTGATGGCTTTGTTTGGCGGATGTAGTCGAAAGATATTTGCCACGTTACTAAAATTGAATTCTTTGCTTCCCAGTCTCGGTAGAGGTGACCTGCCTCTTTTTCAAGAAGCTTTGTTGCTTCATGATCACTCCCTTGGAAGTCTCTTAGGTATTGTGATACCGAATAGCGGGGTGCCCGATTTCGAATATAGCTAGCGGCCTGTACGACCGCTAGCGGCATCAGCTCTAACGCGTTCACTAACTGTTGACCATCTTCGCTTTGCCTTGGTTGATCAAGCTTTTTTTGGAGAAGCTCTAGCGCTTCGGATTCCTGCATCGGTTTAATCTCAATAAGGTCCTTATGATTGGCCATCTTTAATGCAACATCTCTGGCGCGGCTCGTGAAAATAACGGAGCCATTTCGGCTTCTAGGAATATATTCTGATAGTGGTTTTGTTGAGGCGTTCGTTCGGCTGCTGACCGGATCTTTCTTGCCTGCTACCGGAAATGAGCTGAGCAGTTGATCGTTATCAACGTTGTCAAGTATTAAGAGCCATCTTCCTCTACTCTCATCCCGGAGCCAATTCTCGACGAGTTTAAATATATTGACTTTAGGGTCCTGACGATCCGGGAGTTTGATTTGGTCCGCGATGTCCCGAAAACTTTGCTCAAACCGGGCTTCATTACTTGCATGGACCCAAAAAACCCATGTCGCTGGCGATTGGGATCGGACTTGATAGGAATATTCGATGGCGAGTTGCGATTTCCTTCGAATTTGTGAGCCATGAAGAAATTAAAAAAAAATGGTGACCCTTTACTTACCCGACACCTCCAAGGCCGACCAGCGCTATTCTTGACCCTGGTGCGGAGCTCTTCTCATGGATCTGATGAAGTAGAGTGTCGCGACTGACAAAGTCTGGATCACGCGCGAATGGGACAGTCGATAGAGGGCTGGGTGGAGTTTCCGGTCGCACTAGGATGCGGCGATTAGTCACGGCTGGAGCTTGTCCCATTCCTCGAACTTACGCGGCGGCAGATGAAACTCTGCAGTGATTGAGCCATGGCTTTGTCCGACCTGGATCCCATGGTTGTTACCAGCAAAAGATATCGATGTCATGATCACTAGACGTTATCCGTGTCTATGTAGAGGGCCATTGCCTAAGTCTCTGCTGAAGGAGGGGCACATGTCCTTAGCCTCATCATCAGGTGACTTTGGCGGCGCTAAGACACGGAAATTGACAAGCAGCCACCTACATAAAATGCTGGGTCGGTCCTGCATATGATAAGACCATCACTTCAGGAACATACTAGGTCCGTGCCCCAACATCTATATCAAGTGCAGAGAAGCTCGCCGTTCCATTCGGATGATTAGAGTAGTCTCGGTCTGTTTGGTTCGTTTTGGGACAGCTCTTCTGGGTCGCTTTCGGAGAAATACTATGGTGAAGGACTAAGCCCGGTCTTTGGCGTAAAGGCATGACCGACATATCCTGGAGTGGGGGCATATTGCGAATCTTGATCCACAGGGTCGAGGTCTTAGGGTTGAAGATCGTTTTCATTGCAATACGAGCTAGCAGTCATCGTGCGTTTTAAGGCTCTAATAAATCCAACAGATCCAACGTCAGCACAGTCTCATCCACTCAGAGTCTAGCGAATGCTAGTCAACAATGCCGTCTGTCACAAAAGCGAGAAACTTGTATAGTATACGCTTCACTCACACAAACACTCTGCAGCTGAATGGCTGACAGACTGGGATCCGAACTCTGGCCTAGCAACCGGATTAGGGAGATCTCCCTTTTGTTTGTCTTGTTTGCAGGATTACCATTCTAGAATCTCCGAAAGCCATACAAGCCCAATACAGTAGCTAATTTTGTGGGGTTATTTACGACTGTATTGCCCTGAAACGAACGAAGTGAGAGGAAGGGATTCTCCGCCCGCGGGGATTACCCCTGTTCTGAAAACTTTGTTTTTTTCGCTGTTGTTAGCCAAATTACGACTTCTCATTCGCTACTTCGATCCACTGCCTTTCTCTGATTCGCTACCTTTTCATTCCACGCCCTCTTCTGATTGCTGTTCGAGCAATGTCCAGTTCAGTTTAGTGTTGGCGGGTTTTATCCTTAATCATTGGCTCTTTCTACTATAACCCTAACAGCTGACTCTCTAACCCTGGTGTCCGTGCCTTGTGCTTCCTATTCATTCGTTATATCCTCATGCTCATTATGTGCATGGTTTTGCTACGCACTTCTTTAGGAGCTTCATCTGGTTGGTTAGATAACTCTGACGTGTCTAGATACACCGCTTCTTTTTACCTGTACTCTTGTGTTTGGGGCTTTAACTTTTTTATCCATCAAAGTCTTCGGGGCTGTTTGAAACCTTCCATTGTCTACTTTTTATTCTTGAAGTGCTTGCCTGCTATGCATATAGATATGACGGAGACATAAACATATTCTTGTTTGATATCGATATGTCCTTCTCTGCGATTCAACCCAGGCATGCCCTTCGACTACTTCTGGAATTCTTTCTCCTCGCCATCTCAACCTTTCCCATCAGATTACCGGCCTGGTGCTGTACAGCCCGACTCCCCACCTCTTACATTCCTTCCACCCACCCCGTCGGCCCCACGTCCATGTCCTTTCCCTCCTCCGTCATACGGTTCACCAACTCGTCGCAATCATGTTACTGGCTTTTCCCCGGCTCCGGCGCTACCATCTCAATTGACCCCACCCTATCCTCACTTCCCTCCCCCATCCTATATTACCCCGTCGAGCGTCCATTCTACCTTGGTTGCACCTGGCTTCTCGCAGACGATACTGCCGCCAAATCCCCCACCTAAAGTCACCTCCGGCGTCCGCGCCGGCCCTTGCAGGCAAAGTGTTTCATCACGTCCTCGTCTTCTTGCTCCAAGACCGACCCTGGATACGACTACAAGACCCTGTCTGCCCACAGTCTCGGCAACTGGCGGTCGAGTTGTTCCAAATTCAATTACCGTTGCCATAGATCCGTTGCTTCGGAATGGGGTGTCTCCAGCCCCACAGTCCCAGTCTATGCCGAGGGCTTCGACCGATGGATTCCTAGGACCGGATTCCTACAGCCACCGATCAATTCCCCACCTACCTAGCTCGCTTCAATCCGCCGCCCCAACAAAGAGGTCGGGCCCGTCTCAAACGCTTCCGCAACCTAAGCGGCGCATGCTGGACACCGATACTGACTCTACCTACATCATCGATAAGGCTCTAAAACTGCTGCGTGATGATCTTGAGTCGAGAAGTTCAGCCTCTACGACTTTTCCACCGGTGCTGACTGAAGCTCAAATAAGAGCTTCCATTGCCCAATATCAAAATCATATTGAAGATTCATCAAAGCAAGGCGTCTGCTCATCCTGCGGGACATTTGTGCCGATTCCGGAGATTGTAGAAATGGAGGTCAGTGACCCTTTGCTCCTGCCACTAGCTACCCACCTTGACTATTGCGGCAAACATGGCGATGAGTGGGATATATGTTTATCCTGCCTCAAGTCTCTATCTCAAAATCCTGTGCCGAGACTTTCTGCTTTGAACCGTGTGAATGTGACAATGTGTCAAAACTATCCGTCGGCGCTTGAAGGCCTCACCCCAGTCGAGGAGTGTCTTATTGCTAGGTGTCATCCCCTCGGGATAATTTGGAAGTTGCGCCCTGGGAGCCACATGTCGCCGGTATCCTATCGTGCTCTGCGCGGCCACTTCATAGTCATTCCGCAGGATCCGGAGCCACTTCTTGAAATTCTTCCGAGCCCAGCAGTAATGTTGCATGATGTAATTAGGGTGTTTTGGCTAGGAAAGCAGCCCGCCACCTATGCGGACTTATCTCCATTTTTGCTGGTACGTAGACAAAGGGTTCTTACGGCTCTTCAATATCTGACACGTCATAATCATGTTTATCACGACGTTGCTATCAACCGTCAAATGATCGACATGTGGGATGACGAATTCATTCCAGCCGATCTTGAAGAAAATATCATTCCTGTGGATCTGTCCGATGGGCTGGAACTAGAGGGCTACGCGGTCCATTTGGATGCGGGTAACCACGAAAATGATTTCCAGGCTGCACAAGATGCTGGCCGGGAGACTGGTATCAATGCACCCCTGATGACTGGGTCTGTTTGCACCGACATTAACGGTGAACGTCAGAGCCCCGACAAGCGCCTTTTGAAAGCCTTGTTGGACATGGTTTCGAACCCTCTCGCCTCATCCATCCAAAATACAGTTACACGCGGCCAGCAGCAAATCCCTAGCCTTTCTTACAGGATTCGGGGCCAGGCAACCCTTGCTGACCATTGGCATGATCCAGCGTATTTTACTGGCGCATTTCCAACTTTATTTCCCCTCGGCATTGGCGGCCATCTGGACGAGCGTTCATTCGACGTCTCTTTGTCTTCCTTCGCGGAGTGGGCATTAAAGCACCATAGCAGGAGGTATGGTTTACTGAATGCAATAGTATTAGTTTTTGAACTTCCGTCTCTGACTAGAGCAGGTTTGCGCGCCACAGAACCTTCATGTATCTGATATATGACGTGCTTCTGATTCGAAAATCTTCCCTCGCGAATAAATTGGTCCTTCAACGTCGGCACTGGTCAAAAACCACTGACGACATCTCTTCTCTTACTGAGGATTGACTTCGTAATGCACTACAAGATCTAGAGATCCATCATGAAATCAAAGACCCAGGGATTTCCCGTCTGCTACATGTTATGAAAGCAATTGCCATGTGGGCCCCCGGCTCTTTCGCTCAAAAATTGAGAATGCGGTCTGAAATCCGAGGTCTCATCGTCCGTTTTGGAATGCCTGCTTTTTGGATTACCATCAACCCCTCCGATTTACGGAGTCCACTTGTCATCATCCTGGCTGGTGTTGAGTATTCCGACAATATATTGTCAGCCTCAAATTCCGCTATTCGAGGTGCGACCGCCACATCCAACCCAGTGGCGGTTGCCTCATTTTTCCATAGTGTTTGTACCGCTGTTTTGGACGGGTTGTTCGCTAGCGGACGCGATCGCACTGGGATTCTTGGGGATGTTCCAAATCATTATGGCGTAGTTGAGACCAATGGCAGAGGAATGCTGCATTTACACGCAATGGTGTGGCTTAAAGGCAACCTCTCATTTGCCAATCTGCGAAGCCGCGTTCTCGCCGACGCTGGATTTGCTACGCGTGTGCTCCACTACCTCGAAAGTGTCATCATCCAGAGCGTTGATGAGAGTACCCTCGTTGATCCGGAGGTCAATCTTGCGCCGATAAGCCCGTCTGCTTCCGACCCAGAATCGGATCATGATTTCCACATCAGGCTAGCCGATGATAGCAACCTCGTTGCTCGATCTAAGCAATTGCACTCCAAGAGGCACTTCGCCACCTGTTTTATAAACCACCCAACAGACCTGTCTAAAAGCACTTGTCGTTTTGGTATGCCCCGTGAAATCGTGCCCTCGTCTAGGATCGACGATCTTGGGGTGATTCACCTAGCTCGGAATCATCCCTGGATAAATCCATGGAATCCCGCCATTGCCAGCTGTCTCCGTTCAAATCACGATATCTCCTGGATCCCGACCGTCTCAAAATCGCTGGCCCTAGTCTACTACATCACCAACTACGCCACGAAAGACGACGTTTCTCCATGGCAGTTGATAGCGAAGGGAGGACTCTTGAAGCAAGCAATTGAAAAAGCAAAAGCTGCCGACCCACCAACTGCTAATGATTTGCGGCTTCGGGAAAGGAACATGGATAATTTCGCGCTCCGTTGCTTCAATAGTCTGGCGCGCGACCGGGAAGTGAGCGGTGTTCAGGTCGCTAGTACCTTACTCCATCTCCCTAACTACTACACTGTTGACACCAAATTCGTCCGTGTCAACCTGTGGTGGCTAAGGCAGTATGTACGTGATCTTCGAAGTGGGTCCAGTGCAAATGTTGATACTTCTGCTGGAACTGCCGACGAGCCTTGTACATTCCAGGCTGGGGAAACAGCTCCAGTGAGTATGTTCGACAACTATAAATGGCGGGGGGTCGGCCTTGCTACCTTCTCATTCTTCGAGTACTGCATGCTAGTCCAAATAGGAAGGCAGCGGAGAAATCATCATGATCACTTTGACTTTGACCCGCGCCACCCGAGATGTGGCGCTCGCGTCCAGCATGTCGCCCGCTCACCGTCCCAGGTAGCCACCGTCGCATTCAGTGGACAGCTCACACAGTATCAAATGGCGGAAGACTCCATCCGCGGAGGGCATCCAATGACCGATGCCATTGCGAATGATCTCGCGGAGATACTTCTCGGTCTTTTTGTTCCCTGGGACAAGCTACGTGAGAGGTTTCTTTGTGGATCCCCTGAATCCAATGTCTTGTCACATATCTGGTCGTCGGTCAAGCCCACACTGGTGCCATATATCCAGGAATTTGCCACTAATATCGAACTTCTTCGGAAATCGAAAGACGACTGCCAAATCGATGCTAGATTACGACACCCTTTGAACGACCGCGCTGAGCTGTACGACCGTCATGTTGATAACATAGATCTGGCCGGCCATGAGCAGATAGACGCACCCGATTGTGATGATTTCATGGCTCCCGAAGATGAGCGGCTCACGGCGGAGACTTTGATCGCCGCTTACAATACAGTAACCAAAACCTGGGGCCAAGATTGTTTCATCGCAGCAAAGAGAGCACCGGTCTTGGCCACTTTCTGCCGCGCACACAATCTCACACGGATGAATCCACTTCCTTCCAGTACCCATTCTCTCCGACCTGATCATACTTTGGATTTAGAAATAGTCGCACCCACAGTCCTGCAAGACTGGGAAAATCAACTCTCCAGCCATAAAAAGCCTTTTCAGGACGGAGACCTTTCTAATCCTACCCCACACCTGCCCGACTTTAATCTAATAGATGAAGATGGCATGCTGCAGCCTATACTGATCAACGCAAGCACGCCTGGTGATTCATTCACCAGTAAGGCTGGATCTCGAATATCCGACATCAGATTCTCTACTCAAGCTGATCGTCAAAGATATCCCACTAAATACGAAGCAATTACTTGTAGTGCGAAAGTTGTTAACTGAAATTATGTCGTGGACTGAACATCCATGCGACTCATCACGACTCGGACAACTACTTCTGTGTATTACGGGCGAAGGTGGCACAGTAAAGACGCGGATACCAAAGGCCATCGAAGCCGCCCTGTGTATTCTTGGCCGGAAACACGAAATTATCCTCACAGCCCCTACTGAGGCCGCAGCAGACAATTTGGGAGGGAACACCTATTATACTTCTCTTGGTATCAATCTTTCTTACAAAGCTGCTGGAAGCACCCGCGTTCGAAGATTATGGGCACGAAAGACCATCCTGGTTATTGATGAAATGAGCATGGTCGATCTGAAAATGTTAAGTGTGATCAACAACCAATGCAAAGTCGCTCGGTCATTGCCGAGGTCCTCTCCCGACCACTTTGGCGGCCTTCCAATCGTGATTCTTATGGGCGATTTCTTCCAGTTCCCTCCTGTTCGCGGCCCACCATTATGGAAAAAACCCAGATCTGGAGTTGACGATGATGCCGCCGGCCGGCTGATTTGGCATAGATTCGAAAACGTTATCATTCTCGATGAGCAAATGAGACAATCCGAGGATCCTTCGTTTCGTGGGTTCTTGACGCGCACGAGGCAAGCAGCATTGACCGATGACGACGTTGCCCGCCTGAATTCCAAGTCTATCCCTCACTCACAGATCCAATATCAGAGGATGCCACTTTCATTGTCAAGTTAAATGCCATACGGCACCCAATCAACCGGATCCGTATTGAGAATTTCGCTCGGCGGAGATCTCAGAGGATTTATATCTTTCCCGCCATTCACACCCGGACTAAGTCAACTGGCCCCGTGAACATTCGGCTTCAAGCCCATGACTTGCTGCTCCAGCCAGATCACAGTGCCCAGATTTTCTTCCCAGGTCTTCTTCTTTACACGAGAGATATGCCGACCGTTATGCTCACTAACGGCTGCACCCCTCTTGGTCAGGTCAACGGTGCCACGGGCACCGCAGTGGGGGTTGTTCTGGATCCAGCTGGAAAGTCTATTCGATATTCGAGATCCTAACGCATCACTAGTGTACTTTCACAGCCGAATTGTTTGATCTGGACGACCTTTACACGCTCTGTACAAGACCGCCTGCCTCCGTAATATTCAAACCGGATCGAATTTTGCAAACGCGTTTTGACCATCTTCCACCTTCGACTATGCCGATCTTCCCAATAGAACGTTCCATCGCAGTGAAAGACGTGTCCGTGAGAAGGAAGCAGATCCCAATCTGCCCAGCTTTCTGTCTCACCGATTACAAAGTACAAGGCTCGACTCTCTCTGTCGCGATCCTAGACCTAAAAAATGGCTCAGCGCGGCGAGGACAAGATTCTCACCGGAAGTACTGCTCCCTTTACGTTCAGCTTTCTAGGCTGCGGTCTTTTCAAGGTCTCCATTTACTCGAGAAGATTAGTCTTGATGATCTCCGCTTTTCTCCCGACCCCGACCTTATCGTGGAAATGGGCAGATTGCGTGCTTTAGAAGCCAAGACCCTTGCGGCTTGGGCTTGAACTGTCTGGTAAAGCCTCTTTGCCTCAAATGCCTCATGTTTTTATTGCCACCCTCTATAGACCAACTTCCACTAATGCCACGTCGTTTCAGGGCTTACAGCGTGCCCCAGCGCGCGTCTTCCAGTAATCAACACGGATGTACGTGTGCGTGAGATGTTGCAAAAAGAGGTGGCTTAACTACGTATGGACTGTTCTGCCACGCACGTCGCTCATTCGCTGTTACTGCCCACTGGTACCTGCATTATTGCCGCTTTTTTCGGATTAGATCGTCTTGGCTTAGGGTTGTAGGGTTATGTCTGCATATTTATGCACGTTCGGCAACTATGATTGCTTCGTCTTCTGCATCTTGGCCTTCATTTTATTGCAACGCTGTGCTGTTTATTACCACTACGATTCCCATTGAGTATGTTATCCCTTGTACTTGTCCCTCGTCTCGCTTTTGTGTCCTAGTTTCGAAATCTTATCTAATCGGCCTTACTATAGATGTGGGCGCTAACTAGACCTCGATATAGAACCGCCAAGAAATTTCTTCAGTATAAAGCCTCCTAATAAGGAAATTGTTCACTTATAAATCGTGTTTATACCTCTTAGCGGTTCTCTTAGCGGTTCTCTTGGCGGTCTAGGTCTCAAATCATGGAACCAGAACCGGACCATGTCGAGGTCTAGCGCTAACTATATACCTATTGTCGGGTGTTCGCTGCGTATACAGTGTGAAGCTGTATTATCTTTAATATCGTCTTATTCTTCTTTTGATGACTGCTAGGTTCCGCTTCTTACTCGACTTAGCGTTATATGCTGGCCATACTGCAGACTATAGGTCTGAATGGATAAACGTTATACAGTAACCTATTAAACTCCTCTCTCAATAGCCAGCTTTACTCTGAACCCAACAAAACAAATGCTCTAGATACGGCAGACAAATCAAGGCCTTTACCACAGGATAGCTCTCCTACTCTAGAGAAGTGCTCTCAAAGGCTAGTTGCAACTTAAGAGGCTGATGTGCTCGCATAATCGAAATATAGAAACTGAATAGTAAGTCTGTTTGATTACCTGGCTCGATAACGTGGCTCTTAGTCATATAATCCTTTATCCCTCATTGGTCGATCTTATTTACCATATATTTGACGCTCAATTCACACAATATAAATGCTTTTTCTCTCCCTTCCAATCCTTCGTTTCAGGGCCGAGGCGCGCAACGCGCGCGTCTTCCAGTTCAATACGATTCAATATTGGAAACTGAGCTAAGCCGGAAGTGGGTTAGTGTGTTTCGGACTGGGGTTCGAGATAGATTCCGTGTATGCGAAGTGGTGAAATTGATTTCGATCCTCCCTGTAATCGAACACTCCAGGCCGAAAAATATCCAATGAAGCGGGGGAAAGACTGTAATTCACGCTGTCCACATTTTCGAGTTGGTACCAATGATGAAAAAGACATGAAAAAAGAATTCGATTCGGATCCACACATTTAGGCAGTCCCACTTTTCTCTTGTGGCAGCTGTCTTATGGCAGCAGAAGATTTCGAAAAAGAAAGCAGAAGTCCTTTTTTGGTTATGGTGGGTTTTTAGAGAGCATTTCATGCTCTATTTAGATATGCTAGTTCCCTTTTTAGGTATCTACACATCATCAAATTCCACAGGGGGAGCAGGAAGTGCAAAGCGCCTTAGATACTCATAAATGGGAGTTGATATAAAGCGAGCTAAAAGATGCAAGTCAGACATCATGAAGGCGTCTAGGGCATATTACTAACAATGATGGGCTTCTGTAAAGAAGATCTTGAAGCTGATGGGCGTGTGCAGATATCTGAATCTATTGGAAGAGAGAGAAGTTCAATGACGGACACATATCGTTTGGCTTTTATAGAGAGGCAAGTTTCTCGCTTCACGAGAACCTTCTACTATACTGTAGCGCTATGAACCGTCGTTCAACCTGTGTCACTTGACCTATAGTACAGTATCACATCTGCTGTGGCTGCTAAGAGCTCTGACACAAAAAGCTCAAAGCGAACAGACACTTTTGTGCTCGAACTTGAGAGGTCTGCTCACTTTGAGTCTTTGATGCTCGAGCTCATAGCATCCATTACAGATGTGATCTTTTGCAGTAAAGTTGTAACAGAAGGTATACAAATTACTCTAAAGAATAGGCCGCCCTAGAATTTCATTGGGTACCGTCCATCTTATAGTTTCCTCGCATGTCTTGCATCTTGGATGCTTGCAAAAGATTGGCCCGTCAGCCAGAATCGAGAATTCATTCAAACTCCCCACTTCAAATTCTTGCTCGCTCTGGAAGCATTGAACACAGATCTTGTCATCCGCCTTAATTGTTCCCACATTTAAGCTTCCATTCACGAAGATCATTGAATCAAATTTCGTTCGAGTTCGTGTAATGCTGGACTCCCACAGTAGATAGGGATTGATGGTTTATTATGATAGCCACTCGAATTTTATATTATAGTTGGGGATCAATAAGAGTTCGATTACTGCAGAGTTTCGTCTCTCGCAAAGTATGTCTCAAGAGACTTTACAACTTGGTCAGAGTTGCATTCACCGTGTCCAGCGCAGTGAAGCTATAATGACCTTGATCCTCATCCATCATATAACCTGGATAACCAATAGCCCGATTTGGCGGCTCTATCGTTTGTCCCCACCTGACCGGGCCTAGAGTTGCAGTGTCCAGATTTTCACACCAGGGTGGATGACATGCAGCGCTAATTGCAGCGCTACAACCCCCAGCCAACGGCATGTTGGACTTGAACCTTTTGCAGCCCAGCAAAATCATCAGAAGAACCAGCAAAGAACCAACAAGAATTGCCAAGAAGGTTGGTAAGGGTGACCAACCAACGGCACTAAGTTTATCGCTGTAGTTTGCCTCTCCCTGAATATTTTATGGGATAACCAAGATATAGCATAAGCTCTGCGAAATCAACCAGTGGAGAAGCACATGCAGAAGCAATAGCGGCACACTATATTGATAAGGTATACTCAGCCAATAGGTCGATCTTTGCTGACTACCTTTCACGGGACGCGATACTCTAAGCGGTTTGCGAGTGATACCGTAGGAGTTATACTCTGCCGCACTCAGCATATCGGTTATAAGCTTGTTTAACCAATAATAGCTAACAGTGAGCCACAATTGTGGTATATTGGCGAACATCACTGTTCCGATCATAGAACCCGACTCAAAAAAGATATTGTAGTTGCTTATACTGAGTCCTTCGCTCCACCATTCACTAAGCAAGCGTGTAGAGAGTACGCCGCTTCCATTTTCGGACTTAATTCCCTCTTTCAGGAGAAATCCTGCCACGGAAATGTACGAAACACATCTAAGCCAGTAAAGTTAGTATCTGCCAATGTTAAGTAATGAAGTTACCTAGATGATCTTACAGAAGAAGAGTACCCGCCCATCGCTTTTTGCTTGGTACCTGCATATACCATTTGCGTCGCTTGAATTTCTCATGTCGTACCACGTCATATGGTTCGCTCTCTTCCAATATTTCAAAGGATATGCTCCTGTCTTTCGATAACCGGGATGATCTCGATGACCTACGAAAGAGAGCTCTCTTGGCCATCCCTTTCGATTTATCGAGGGGTCGCCAGACTCCGCGAGAAACATCACTCTGAGATATCCAGCACATTCCGTCCGTGGTGGGATCTGGCCTTTTCATAAAGGATACTACCGCATCGCCTAAGGTGAGAAGAGGCGCCGAGCGAAAGCGACTGATTCGAGCTGCGAAAAACATCGCGACCACTTTTACCAGCGAGCATAGAGAAACAATTATAGCGATCGTCGGGCTGTAGAGCAGCTCGCATTTTTCCTCTGTGGGAATTCGTATGCAACCCTGCGCAGTGTTCGTAGAATAAACATCACCGTAGCTACCATAGCCACTTTCATCGTAGGCAATATCGACTGGAGAAACGCAGGCGAAGTTATCATCATCTCCACTAGTCTTTGATGTGACGTTCTTATAGAAATAAAGTCCATCCACTTTTATCTTATCCGAGCCAGTTGTTTCCGTGGTCGAGAGAATTGCTTTATCGCTCGCATCAGGAAGGCCGCTATGCGAGCTGTATTGGATTGCCCGGTTGCCTCCATCTTTCACAGATAGATTTTCGACAAGAATCATGAGTGCTTTCGTTCCCGCTGCATTACTATCTTCGATGATATCAATGCATTCAGCCAAGCTAATACGGGTGAAGTTGCCCGCTGCGATCTCGGAAGAAAACTGGTTCCAGGTGTATTCTCCAAAATCGCAAAACGTACAACCTGGGCGGAAGCATTTGTCAAGCATAGGAGTTGTCAGATTCATCACATTATTGGCAGTAAGATCTTGCGGTCCAATGAAGACCCCAAACTCATTTGTCGCAATTGACTCAAAGATCATGGAGTTGTATCTAAAGCTTCAATTAGCTATGTTCGAATACTACCAGTCTCTCGTCGCAGGCACGTACAACATATGGAATGGCGTAGCCGTGATCAGCAAGATAAACCACATTGTAACTCGAAGTCGACCGATTTTGAATAAGTTCCCCATGCTCGCGGTACCAATATCCAGCCATTTCCCTTTTGTATGATATGTATCAATCTCCTCTCAAGTAGGTGCAACAAGAGACTGCATGCAGTAGTTGCTAGCGCCTATGATACTCGTACTTAGAGCGTTGATAATCAAATGAATACCAGTATCCCACTTCTTGACGGCGGAACAGGTCCCTTGGTAAATGATCTTAGAGTTTGATAATTCAGAGATTGTACCATATTTCTTGGATAGCCCGGCTGCGACACATATGCTGATCACGTTAATCAAGAATACACAGCCTCCTAGACGGGCGCAGGCGTAGACACCGGTGATCCAGCGAGGGTCTTGGGATACCGTGCTGCCAAGCTGGTTCGTATCTGGTGGTGGAGATTGATGTTGGCGGCCATTCAATAACAATTCGGAATCATGTTTTGATGAGTGAACTGTAACGAGTTCAACCTCACTCTCCCCCTGCTGGTGGTGCAGGAATCCGGTAGAGTGTACGCCGAACAGGAAAGACTGAGCGCGTTCCCATATCCGCCTTGCCCCCTTTTCCATCATTGAGGCTCTCACGGCGTTTGGTTTAAGGCAAACTAATCTTACGAGCAGACCGACAGCCTTCCTGCTAGCGCTGGCTCCATTCTTTAGGAAATGAAAATTTGACAAAGGCCGGAATTGCCGGTCAAAGCCAAACCTCGCGGCTTTTTTAGAATGGCTTGATTAGCGCATGAATTAACCGAGATGTCAAAATAAGTGGGGAAAATATATGTATTGAAGTATTAATAACCCTATGTTACAAAACACAACGCAATGTAGGTTCGGAAAAATCCTAATGGAGTTTAGTGTATCTTGGCAGTAGGGGTGGAGATTTTAGGCAGCACCAGTTTCGAGACGTACTGCACGTCGTATCAAACGAGCTAAGACTATCGACCCAAACCACACCCGCCATGACGGCGTGAAGCCTACGCGGAGGCTGAGATCGCGACATACGCAAAGACAGCAAAGGAGCAGGCAGAAACTATATGTACCAGGACCGACGTTGTCGTCTACTCGGACGCTTCCTGACACCAGGGGCTCGTGGGATTGCCCTCCGTGTTGAGTGGATACCTGGAGATTGTGATAAGCTCGAAAGCTTTGATAATCTTGCCATCGAAGCCGTTTATTGATCAAGTCGACAAGTCGACAAAAATGCATATTCAAGGACAGTATCCTAATTGAAAATATGAAAATCAAGAACATCAACATAGAGAGAAGAATTAACAAGGAGCAAATCAGACTCAAGAATCGAGCTAACCCAGTCGGAGCTAAACTGGGATAGGAAAACTCTCAGCACTAAATAGAATATCGTACACACTATAAGCTTCATCAGGACCCAAGTAGCAGTAATCTTTGACATGGAGAATAAGAGGCCAGAAATGGCGCAGGCGGTGAGCCGCCGTACCACTCGTTCCTGGGAACTTGGTTGGCCCTCATCTCTCCCGGTGAGGTGTACTCAAAGTGGGTCCGTAACATAAGGGTGGTGATCTATCTATAGAGAATATATATTTCTAGGTCGATAGCGTTTATTATTTCAGTGTAATATATACCTAAAAGCGTGATAGAGATGAATTACCAAAATTACACTAGGTGACTAATCAGGTTTAGCCACGATTTTTGCATATTTTTGGGTATTCTGGGCAACCTGCGGGTACCCGCTAAGAACCCATGGGCGGGTTCATCAAGGCCAAAACCCACGGTGGGTTGCCCGTGGGCGGGTAAGGAAATTGAAAACCTAACCCAAACCCACGTTTGGCGAGGTCTAATCTTGTCATGGCGAAAAAGTTGCTAAAATCTTGTGATACGTGTCGTCAAAAGAAGGTTTGTATTTATATCAACTGTCCGAGCAAAGATAATTCTCAACGAGTTACAGATCCAATGTGATCATAAGAAGCCTACATGTGAATGGTGTGAACATCGACATCTCCATCGTACCTTCATCCGCCCATATGGCTTGAAGAATATGAAGTGGTCCTTCTCGAAGTCAGTTGCTTGTTTCAACCTTGGAAAACTAAATTTAATGCCCACTTTTATAGACAGATTCAAGAAAAGGCACTTATCGATTGTCCCTACGCGACAAGGCGACGTGAAGCCACACTCTCGACCTCGAGTTCTGCAATTCTGAATTCTGTCGATTCTTTGAGTAAGGGATCAGACATACATTTTAAATCTGCTAGACAATCTTCAAGCCAGTCTGTGCAAGTCAATACTCTCTCTCCCCCAGCAGCAAAAAGTGGAAAGCAAGATTTACAGTGGAGATGCGGGACATGATACAGTCAGAGCTTCCCAACCACCCTCTTCAACCATGGATCATTTCAAGGCTTCTCGGTCAGAATCTGAGTTTAGTCAAAGACTATTACCACAGTCATTGGTCCAAAAGTGTTTGAACTTGTATAGCTCTTCGCGATTGGCTCGCACTTTTCCGATTATCGACGCTCCTTGCTTCCAAAGTAGAATCCTTGCATTCTTTGGCGGACATACATGCCATGCTTCTCAGGCTTAAATTTTCGCATTCATTGATTTTGTCACATACAATGTTCCTGATGTATCTTCTGTCGTTGACTTGGAGAGATGTGAGCTAGAGGCTCAGAATTTGGTCCCGGAGAATCTAGCACAGCCAGTCACTTTTGATGGCATTCAAATATCATGATGCTGGTAGGTACATAATATATCGTACAGTTGTCGACCGCTGCTAAATCTTTACAGGCATTGGGCCGTGGGTGCTCCGGAGGCTATGAAGCCATAAATGTATATGTGGGCATTGCGGCGCAGATAATCTCTTTAGGCGGTCACCTCAACTCTAAAAGCTACCCCAGGGCCCTTTTCTGGGTGACAAACTTCCTAGATCAGAAGTTATCAAAGCGAAACGAAAGGCGACCTGCTTTCTCCGATGAAGCCTTTGATTTGACAATTCCAGAACTACATTCCGAAAGGATAGTCTACCTTGACGCTCACGACCAGTCATCTCCAAGTGATCTGAGGCTCAGCCTCATAAAATCCAAAATTATCAACCTTTTGTATTCCAGCGCGGCTCGGAAGGCTTGCAATGCAGATATTATTAGAGCCGTTCGGATATCTATGTTGTCGAGCGTTATGTACCCCCGGAATCCGGGGTCAGCACGTTAGTAGTAGGACAGGATGCAGTAAATTATGTTGCCGCAAAGAGATTGAAGTCTGCCCTCACCACCATCAGCCTTTCGGTATTTGTCGAAAGTGATATCGAGATACTACTTTCCTTGATTGCGTGATTCATTCAAGACACTCAGAAGGCATTTTGTCTACATATAAGCTCGTGGCATTCTATGGACTTGGTGTTCAATTGCGAACTATTGGTTTCAATGTTAATAGTCTTTATTGCTCCTGGACCTATGCCGGCTCTTGGTACAAATCCACCATACATAAGATATTAGAGGCGTATTCTTACACCTTTAACCGTTCGCACTACCTAAAGAGAAGCAAGATAACTTTAGTCAGAGTACGCCGCCGTTTGAGTAGGAGTAACGAATTACAACTAGCGATAACAAGCAAATTTTCATAACGGTTCCCGCGATGACTATAGGCAAGAGAGTCACAGACAGAACTGATGGTTGTGATACAACTTCACCCATCTCGAGATGATCACTCCTCTTTGACGATGGTCATCTTATGATTTAATCCTGCGCCAGTTTTGTTCGTGCTCTTAAATTATGCTTCAAGATAGATGGAGATAATGCCACATGGCTCATCCTGAAAATAATTTGCTACCCGATGATGTTATCAAGGAAGCAATACTTTTGGGCCAAGTCCATCTTTACCTTCTGTCCGCTGTTAACATGTTTCCAGGGCAAATACCTGAGACATAGAATCAATTTCTCGAATAGTATTGTACATTCAAAGCGAATTTATGCTACCGAGGTCCTCAACGCAAAGGAAGTTCACCGCTAACAAGAAGTGGCAACCTTGCCGTTGCCAGTCAGGTTACGTTCTGGGCGATCAGATTGCTTGGATGTGGCTTGGGAATTTTCATAAGACGGAGGCTCAAGGATCTCCTGGTAGCCTTCAGCTTTCAACATCGCTGTCGGTGCTACTAGCCCATATCGTAGCATAGAGGTGCTAGGTGTGCTATAAGGTCCACCATTTCCAGCTGTTTGATGATCGGAGAAGTGATGCGTCGTGGAATGGCTCCCTGGCACCTGGGACCTTCCATGGTGGTACCTAGACGCGAGTTCTATATCCCTGAGACCCTCACGTCTCTCAATCGCACGGCTCCGGAAATGAAGATAAACGAAAACAATGATAGCCGCCACGACGATCCTAAATAAAGGTTAACAAAAAATCAGTATTTTGTAAGTTCCACTTACACGCCTGAAATGGCTGCCGGCACGCCGACAGTGAGGACTTCGCTGGTAGGCTTCTCGCAGCTTGAAACGCTTGTGTCTCCATTGCATTCTCTTGGGACTATAGGGAAAGCCCTTGAGAACTTCATCTTCTCATCCAGCCGATTCGAGCTTCACCCCTAAGCATGCGTCCTAGGCCCTCAAAAACTCAAAAACACTGTAGTGCAATAATGAAGTCACGTCAAGATTTCCTGAATGAAAGATAAATGATATTTTATAGGTGACCATTATAATACAGGGGTCACCTTAAAATCAAGGTCTAGCTTTACTCTATTTCTGTTCTTTTGTTACATAAGCGGAAGCAGAGACTAACTTATAGTCTACGGTGTGATCTGCTGGATCGGGAAAATCATCCGTATGTGTCTAGACCGTTCTAGTAGACCGCCCCTTGGATCCACTCCCAAGATTTTGAGGTCCGGCCCACTTATCTTGAAGGCTCCATGCGAAAATCTCACTCCCAATAGATTGGAACGATCGTGATGGCGTTTATCATGAGCTCTAGTGCTATTTTACCTCATCCAGGAGTATGACATTCTCGGGGACTACTGTAAAGAAAGAGGGTTTAGAAGGTTCATGGCAGACTTCGCAGACCTGGCAACTTAGGCGCGCTCTCAACAGATTTTCCGCAGGTCTATTGGCACTAAGGGATCTAGATTAAATGAAGAAAGATCCTACAGGCTCTCAGCATAACAAGGATAAATAGAGAGTATATGAGTCACCTGATGCTTCAGTCACTATCTGAATGTTGAAAAGAATTGCGACACTTATGGAACAACAGATGGATCTACGTGGCTGCTCCTTTTTCTTCTACTATTGAGCATGTGGCGTAGCTGCCCTGCCAGTCCTGCTATCGGGTCTACTCCGTACGCATGAGTTCAAATTACCGGCCCCACCGGTGTGCGAATCGCACCCGCAAATTGTGGGAACCTGATGCCGTAATTGTATAACTAACTAGTTACTCTCGGGTCGTGATCCGTGCACCACGGATTTTACCTACCACACCACGTTACATAAGCTACCCTCTTACATAATTAAGAGATATCGGGAATCCTCGGACTAAAGTCATGTGATAGTCAACGTCCGATATCAAATTATAAGTACAGGAGTAAATCAAATTCTCCGCAAAGGGCAACTTCTGATAGTATGCCCTATTTCTCCACACCCTGAGCACTTACTAGGGGCCTTAGGCCTCTTTATCTCCGATATTTCCGTGATTTCCTCTGATCTTTTTCTCTTTTTTTCCTCCTTTTTTGGCTGTAGATAGACCCGAGGTGGTAGAATTGAGAGATATTCAGCTGTGGGTGGTCGAGTAACCCAAAAAGGATCAATTTTGTCGAGTCCTATTGGCTGATTAACCTTCAATAACTCACGGATCATATGCTTACAGGGTAGACCCATTGAATTAGTAAAATAATGGGTGCAAATGCCTATTGGCCCCTTTTCTAAGGCTAATTGCCGTTGATTATTGATTTTCTGCAAAGCATGTGGGGAGAGATGGGACCGAAGGTGGCTAAAAAGCGGAATCATGGTGAATTTCGGTATTTTAGTCTGGATTTCGGCTGTTTCTTTGCGGATTTCATCTAATTGGCCATTAATAACAGCATCAATGGCACTAAAAACGGTAATAAAATCGTTATTTGAGCCATGAAGATGGGACTTAAGCCTTGCATGAATACCCTCAGACCGTGAGCTTGCAGAATTACCAAAATGGGTAATATTCGGAGTATAACAGCGGACGAATTTCTGTTTATAGATTAGCCATATTCTTTCGAGATAAAGGATCAGATTAGGGTAGTTAAACTTAGTTTTAAGGTTATATAACCTTAATTTATATTCCTCTGATATATTAGATGAATAAAGGTCTCTCCATATCTTCATAAACTCTGTGAATTCTGTGTTTTTGGGTCGTCTTGGGGCTGATTTGCTGTTTTTTGGCAAATAAATTCACGTGCTTTAGTAAAAACAGCTTTTTCAATATGCCAAATACACAGTAAATGGCTAATATTAGGAAAAAGCTCTTCAATTGCCCCAATAAGTGCTAAAGCTCTGTCAGTAATCAATACTGAATTATTAGATAAATGGATAAAATCCGAGAATAAGGTTTGTAGGGCCCACTTATAGCCTTCTTCACTCTCATTTCGCATAAAACAAGTAGCAAATAAGAAGGTCTGGTTAGTCGGAGTTATGCCAATAACCTCTAAAAGAGGCATACCGTACTTATTAGTCTTATAAGTGCAATCAAGGACGAAAACCCTATAGTATTTATTAGCAAGATCAATAGATTTAGGGTTAGCAAGCGCTAAAAACTCGATTTTATCATCAGATGATAAAGATAATCTATACTTATATCCTTTAATTTGCCAATTTTGGAGAAAATACTCCATTTCTCCCTGATATCCATACCTATCTCGGAGTAATTTTGCTTTTTGGTTATGTCGGAACAATGGATCATGTAATCAACTTTATTAGTCAGCGTACCACATGTTAAATTGCTGTGGTGGAGACTAGAGAAGTACACAGACGTGACCCATACCATTGGTACATGCTGTTCGACCCTGATTACGTGTTCAGAGAGGTTATATATATCACGTGAGATTATCGGTTGATCTGTAGATAAACGGAGTAATTTGATCATATCTCTAGGGGCAGAATTGATCTGATTCAGGTCTTTAATCTTATCAATTTGAGTAGAATTAAGCTTCCGAGCTTGGTGGAACACTATTGGATCGTCAGCAGGGTGATTATGGGATGAATTACGTACCTGGAGCTCCCATTTGCCTGTTTTATTACTTGCATATAGCCTAAAGGGGCAATTTTGACGTTTTGAGCTTGTTTCCCGAGGATTTAGGCCTGTAATTGGCCTATCAATCGGCCGAAAAGGTATGCCTGATTTGACACATTGGATTGAAAGGTTCGCGTAAGCATATTGACCCTTGCCAGAATTACTGCTTTTTATAGCAGTACAATAGCCCTGAGAGAGGGCATGCTTCCGGACGGATTCGATTAATTCATCTCGAGTAGCATATGAAGCTTCAGGGGGTGGAAGAAGGTCTAAATTAGGTTATTATCAGTTATAAAAGATCAGAGAAAAGGATATAACCTACTTCCGTGAGCAGATAAGGTAGAATTGGTAGCCATTTTTGTGGTATTTTAGGGCAAAGTAGGGCAGATTATGGTAGATAGAGTGATCAGGCCAAGGTAAATGGTAAAAAAAAGGGTAGAATAGAGTAAATTATCGTTTATCTACCCAAATCTGGTTACTATAGTGATGAAAATTTGATATCGGACGTTGAATAGCACGTGATTTTCTTCCGAGGATTCCCGATATCTCTTAATTATGTAAGAGGGTAGCTTATGTAACGTGGTGTGGTAGGTAAAATCCGTGGTGCACGGATCACGACCCGCCAATTTTGTAATTACACCATCACTATCTTCCGGGTTCCAGGGTATTCCTGTTGGAGCACCTGTATTTATGATATTGTTCTGTCACCCTGATACGCACTACTCATAATTAGGGTTGGACCTGTATCTATAGTATTGGGTCGTGACCCACAGAACTCCACAACAATACAACTGAGATACACATGCAACAACACGAACCCTAGTCCGAAACACACTTACCCACTTCCGGCTTAGCTCGGTTCAAATATTGAATCGTATTGAAAGACGGCAACACTAGCTTGCTGTGTCGTAATATATATGTAATGCTCTTACCAGAAACACTGTATTTTTGCAGCCTTTTCTGCTTGTGGTAAACATTATCATTTTCTTCGCTCATTATTCTATTATACTGTATATCGAAGACTAATGTAGCGGTGAGACTGATTTTCTCCTACAAGTGTGCGGTTAGGTGATTTTTAATGGGACGTCGTTTCGAGAAGTAACTTAGGCCGGCTAACGAGTAGTCTGGCTTACCCGGTTTCCGAAACACAATTATCTTCGCGTTGCGCCACTGTTTCGGATGGTATGCTAAGTCTACGCACGCCGTGAAGATGCTGGTCATGAACGCCTTCAAATACAGCCATAGTTTCTTCCAGACTAGCATCAGTAGATTGTCCTCCCCTGGTGCAAGTGGTCCCTTTCGCTGTCTTCAGTAATCGCTCAATCTCAAGTTCGGTGATCGGGTGCCATAGGAGCTCCAGTTGTGGTGACGCTGGTAGGTTAGGATCTGGTGGGTTCATTGCGGGAAAGAACGCTTTAAGGAAAGCCCTTGCTTTGTCTTCATTCCGGGTGAGCTCCTCTAAGCCTACCTTTAGGGTCGGGGTGCACCCCTATGTTTCTCGTGGCTTCATGTAGGTCGCAGCTTTCCAGAGCTTCCCTTCGCCCGCCTCATGTAGAAACTGTTTCCAGTGTGACGCTTGAGCCTTTTCGATCGTTTGAGTCCATGATCGGTGTTTAATTTGCATGGCCTGAAAAGCAGCAGTGGTGCTAGCATGGTCTCGTCCAAGCTCCGCGCAGCTCGCCTGCCATCTTCTGCGTATTTGATTGACTTCGACCTGTTGAACTTTGAGATCTGGCGTGAACCAACATCTGCAGTATGGTCTTAGGCGAGTATCGGGCGTGAACTGGTCGACTGCCTAGGCTGTCGCTGCTGTGAGCTTTTCCACAACCCGGTCAAGCGTTGGCCGGGTCTTGATATCCTTCCAGGGGCTCATCTTCCGAGCTACCTCCTCGCCAACTCTGGCCCAATCCGCACGCTCATACGCTTTTCTCGCTTTGCCGTTTAGTTTACTCTGGGTTTGAAGAATCCATTCCGAGTACGTGGCGTGGTGGTCCGACCCGTAGTTCTCGTGATACAGGTGGCAATTAACAAGCAGTTCGGGGTTATCCGTTACTGTCAGGTCAATGGTCGAGTTTTGGCCTGGGTTGTTCAAGGCCCAGTAAGTCGCCGTTCCTGGGGGGAGACAGCTATGGAGGTTGTGAGTTTGGAAAAAGTCGATCAGGTCGCTGGCATCCTCGATAAACCTGGGTGGGGTGTGATTGTCGCCCCACAGTGGACGATGTCGGTTAAAATCTCCGCAAAGGATGATACTTACTGCAGTCTCTTGGATATTTGATTCTTACTTAAATTAAAATCAATAATGAGAAGAGTTGGCTTGAGGGTCAATCTGACTCAATTTTTTGGGCCTCACCAGAATCTATTAGGACATTTTGAGAGCGACACTGAATAGGTCGAGATTGTCTTCTCCAGAGAGAAATCCGAAGGGTATACGAGTACAGTAAAAAAATACTTTGAAGCTGACGGCCTTTCTTACTCCCAAGCTCTTTCAATGTCTCATCGAGTAACATAAAGTTTGTATGAGCAATAAGTACTCAAAGGATCCACTCCAGTAAACCATCTGCTATCCTGAAGTTCACATTTAGATGGTACATCCGCAAGACACGTATAGCATATCTCGGCTTCTTCATACCAACGGTACATCGAGTTGATCGCTTCGGGGAATTCTGCGCTGCTTATTTTATTTATGCAGCATGTGTCGCGCGATATAGACGAAATGCTCGATCAAAAGTGTTTCCAAAGTTTACTTCGGCTTGGTCCGCGTTGATGAAAGCTAAGTCAATTCCTGTCGTGCGGGGTGGAATAGGTAGGCCTTATCAATCAAAATTTCATCATATAGGAAGCCCCATTGGCTTGAAGATAGCGATTTCCGTATACTACTGGGTAACTTTCTTGCTTTTAGTCCCATGCTACATGAAGAGACAGAAAGAACTCAGGGGCATGACAGTTTTGGTGGTCAGGGGGCTTATCAAATCTCCCCAATCATGGCCGTAAAGGATTTCAAAGTGACCTCGAGGTTCCGATTCTCAAGACGCTAGATTCTGCACCGGAGGGTGGTTGCTATCTCAATGAGGCGGACGGTTACGAAGAAGACTTCCAGGACAGCTTCTGGGGCTCCAACTATGCACGCCTCTACAGACTGAATCAGAAGTGGGACCCTGAGAACCTATTTATTGTCCGAACTGGCGTTGGTAGTGAGGATTGGGATGCCGAAGGATTATGTCCTAAATAGAACGGTAGCGGGGATTCTGCAACTCAACGTTCAGTAAGCCCACTACGAATACTGAATGACTGGTTAATATCAAGGCACTCATCTAATAATTTTCAAATTGAATTACAATGCATTATTCCCATGCATGTTTATCGTGTGCATGTTCATGATCGCGTTAGAGGCCGTGTACTATAGCGATTTGAAATGGAAATCTAAATATCATTGTCTTCATTGAAGATAGCTCCATAAATGCCGAGGCGAAGAGTAACTTATTGACCAGAAATCAGATCTGCAGACAGTGATGAAATATCTGAATGTTTGACACTATGCCCATGAGAAGTGCTCGCAATGTAGATAAGCGCCTCCAGACTTTGAACCTTGAAGGATGTTCAAGTTCACATCTGCAACAGCATTGCGAGCATCATTTTGCATAGTTGTTGGCCCGCAGACATAAACGCCAAGCGACTCACCTACTTCCATGGCCCTTGCCACTTCTTGAATAATAATAGGTAGCTGTGGCCGGCCTTCGCATTCCTCCACTGATGTGGAGGTTTCTGCTGGTTTTCTTCCACCGTTGGACTTTTCTGGCAACGCGGACTGCTCTTCCGAAGAATGGATTTCTTCTATAGCCTCGCCAGTCAGGTGCACCTGTATCTGAATTTTGGGCAGTGAATTTGCCATTGAGTGCTCTGCCAGGAGCTTGTTGACAGCTCGAATATACCAAGCTCGGCTGGTAATGTCTTTGGTCGCTAGTATCAGTCGCAGCGAGCTGGGAACAGAGATCTTGCAAACACGACGGGACTCGTTGTCACTTGTTGCCTGTTTAATGTCACGTTCTTCAGCCAGGCCATATTCCTCATCAATGGGCGTCGAACGGCACGTGATAAACTGCTCGATGAACGGCAAAGTCCAACACACGCCCGAGCCTCCTGCAATCACAAGAAGATGGTCGCTCTGGAAATATGACTGCATGTTGATGCCTCCATATGGACCATCAATAAGTACAGGAACCATAGCATTGGGGTGCTTCATAGCATAGTCGTACACCTTGGCAGTAAAGCCGCCTTGATGACGAATATAGAAGATGAGCTGCGACTTTACACCTAGTTGCCTTGATGGCAGAGAGCATATGGTGAAAGGATGCGCCGAGAGAGCTGGTAAAATACCGAAGCTTGTAAAGCGGAGGAAGCAGTGCTGCCCAGGGCGCCAGGTGAAGTCCACTGGAATTGTGATGCGTATAAAGCCATTTTCTTCCACAGAGACCTGAGCCCTTTGCCGGAGACCGTACTCGAAGCAGGTCCGTAACATGGGGAATATGAAGCAAGGTACGTATACGGCTGCCGTCGCGATGAAGTAGTGCCTGTGAAGATATCAGTGTTTGCCATAGAGCTTTTCGGGGTGACTGCTTGCACTGACCAAGACGTGAGAGTATAATCGCAGTGCCAAAAGAAGATAAGAACGAACATGACAGCGGCGAAGAAGTGCGTCGCCTTGAAAAATTCGTAGCCAAATTTCCTTTGCAATGTGTTAATATTGAGAATGAATTTTCGATTGAGCGAGTGTAATGGATCTGCACAATTGGCACGTACCGGATAACACTGTGAGATGCAAAGGTAAGCCAAGTCTGGAAGATGATGGCGACAATGCCTGTCCAGTAGAACAGGAGGCTCATCTCCACTTGCATCATCATGTCATGGAACCTTATATGATAGACGATAAACGGGAATGTGTGCAATAGTGCAAGAATGAAAAATGCGTAGGAGATCCATCGGTGGAACACCTGAAGCTTCTCATGTGAAACACCTGTGAGGAGTGTGATCCAATTCGTCTTTGTGGCGGTCGCGCTATGGATAATCAGTATTGTGAAACATGTCCCAGTCACTCGGGACGCCTACAAGATAAACGGCATGCATGCCAGAGCCATCCAGCCAGACCTGGTTGCCAGTGGGGGTGAACCACCAAAATCAAGACTTGGCCAATAGTAGGGTTGAGGAATGAGGTCCATGCCTAAAGGTACAGCAATCAGCTCACGATCCGATATTAGCAAAGCGTCGTCTGCAGCTTACAAAAGAAAAATACAGTTCCTGCGGCACCCAGTAATAGAACTCCTAAGGGAGCCGAATTCCATCGTAGTGCCTTGACGTGGAAGCCACGGTAAGATAAATATCGGATCACGGCGATCAATCTCTGCCATGCACGAGGGCCGTGAAACCTTCGATAGCCCAGCAGTTGCGATGATATGAAATGGCCAATGATGAAGATTCCAATTAAACACATGAAAAATGCTATTGTTGGCAGCGAGTAGACGTGGTCTGCAATGTACCTGTTCGATAATCTTTTGGTCAGAAGCTGGGACAACTGCCAGGGCCTTGCCGTCGAGGAAGAATTCTTACCAAAAATGCCACCGATGCACGTAGTATTCACATTGTTCCGTGGTGAAACCATCGCAAGTGAACTCACGACTCCCTGTCAGTTGAACCGGGGAGGTGAGCCAGGCTGCGGACATTTCGATGTGATGATAATATTCTACCGAAGATTTTTGGGCGTTGCAAAGTGACTCAAACAGTCCAACAGAAATACTTTGATTTCGCAACCCGGTGCCTCGTGATTGGCTCGAATTATCTGCACCAAGCTCATTATCGATCAGGGCTATCCGAACTACTGGGCTCCAACGTGGCGGCTTAGCCCGCCACGGAACCATCCGCCACGCACGAAAACGGCGTAGCGGAGGCTTGATGAGCAGATTTGAGCTTGTTGATGACACATCAAATTGGGTGCTCGCTTATTGTTCCGATCAATGATATTGGCCTCATTAAGGATATGTGGACGTGTAGACGAGTAGGCGAGATGCTGAAACTTCAAGTCATTCGCGATGCGAAAATATCCTGAACGGATGACCAAGTCTCGTTTCCGCGCATCTGTAGATTTATCTTCCGCAAGGCTAAGAAAGACGATTGAAATATTTGGGTATAATATCAAGTCCGACGATTGAGCAAATTAAATCTTGTTGTGACGAGAAAAGTCTGGACTCCAGACTGCCAAGCTTCTTCCGACATTCCGAATGGCCCAGTTTCCCGCCAAGAACAGCTACAATTGGCCAACACTCGTGCATTGTTGTTTCCATTCCACGTGCACTGCTCCGCGCCTTCAGTCCAGTGTCCGATATCCGTTCCACTGGGGGCCGGTGCATATTCTCCGCGTGCCACTAGTATCATTGCAATATTATTCGCCCCACAACATGACATGCAATTGATCAAAATCTGTGCCTTGAGCCTTTCTCCTGCTTGCCTGAAACTTTTCATTCCCAAATCGCGTGCGCCTCCTAACTCAAGCACACTTATTGCCTTTACAAACTCTTGCTTTCCTATATCTTGAGCTATCTTCCCCTTCCTTCTCCTGCATATAATCATAAACAAAGCAAAAAAATTATCATCCACCATGGATATGGATATGTCAACTTCAACAGCAAACTCTATGTCCATGGCAACATCCACTTCCATGGCAATGACCTCATCCACTTCTATGGCCATGAGCATGAGCATGCAGTCCATGGACATGGTCTTCTACACCTCTACAAGCACACCGCTTTGGTCGTCTGCGTTTACTCCGAGCACCACTGGGCAGTACGCTGGCGCATGCATATTCCTCATCGCGTTCACCGTGATATTCCGGGCCTTGATCGCTTTCCGAATCAACTTCTTCAAAATCACGGCCGCGGCCAAGCAGAAGCGCAGTGGAAGTCTGCTTCCGCCTACCATGATTGAAGAGAAAGTTCAGATCCGCCTATGGAGAGCCGATGAAGCCGTGACAGTGGGCGTAATCGATATGGTAATTGTGGGGGTGAGCTATCTGCTGTGAGTATTGAATCTCTGATTTTTGGTGATGAATATCACTGATCTTGATTTAGTATGCTGGCGGTAATGACAATGAATGTTGGCTACTTTCTGTCAATACTTGGCGGTGCCTTTCTGGGTAGCATGCTTTTCAATCGTTTCACAGGCAGCACCTGGGCGCATTGAAGGCTACCCGCCCACAATAAAAATGAGCCACAATAACCACCATCTTAATTGAGGAACGACTCCCCAGAACAGAGATAACTACCGACTGGCATGAGCTTCAAATCATGATCGTCGATCATCAACACCCTTTCTGTGACACTTCCTCGAATCAAGATGGCACCACTACGCTCGTTTTGAAGAACTTCGTTCAAACGAATATTTATTGCTTTCGAACTGGGTTTTGAGCGTCACTATTTGAGAAGAAACAAAAAGAATCTTACCAATTCGTTGCCTAAAACCACAGAAACAACGTGGTAAAATTTACCCAGGATATGAATTGTACGAAAAATGTAAGTTATCGCAGAAGCCGAACAATTTCAGGGAACACGCGTGGCAGTACATTTCTCGCTAAAGGAATTGATCAATTGGAAATTCGATTGACAATTATTGCCTGTAACTTTCACCTTGACCTTTGGCCGTAAACGTTGTGTTATTATGTTTGGGCTATAACTATTGCATAGGAACTTTCACATGAGAGTGTTATATTTTCTTTTTCAATTCGAATCGAATATCAAGTTGTATCATTTCCATTATGTGGTAAGATCCTTTTTGTACTTCAGCCTCCAACGTGTTGACGCGCTCTTCAAGCCTCCAAGCTCAGCTGCCTGAAGACAATAAACCAGGTATTGCATCTGTGTTTCAAGTTTTGCCTTCTCCTATTCTTCTTTTCGTAGCAAGATCCTGGTATTATGGTGGGTACCAAGCAGTTTTGTGCATTCAGCGGAGATTTCCGTAATGATCATCTTCGCTCTCCTTCTTGCACCCTGCACGCACTGTACGCCCTGTTGGGTAGAATAAGGGCATGTATTGCTCCTGGACAGTCTTGGTTGCTTTCAGTGAATGGGACTGAACGAACTTTTGGTGGGGGGACGGCTGCCGACGAGTGAATTGGCACATTCGCTTTGTTCTGTGTGGTGGCATATTGGGTGATGTTGGATTTCAAAGGCAAGCTTTGAGCTTGCGAGGAGAGGTAAAAGTGGGGGTAGATTGAAATGATCTCTACTGATTGCAAACACCTTTTTTGATCATATGCTCATGAGTATTTTGGTTGATAAGCCTTAATATGACTGCTTTATGTAGACCTGTTTTGAGGATTTCCTGCCGAATTTTGGTGAGCCTCAGAGCGAATTCCACAGCCAAGATGGATGATCCATTATCTCGGGACGCAAGGTGCAATTAGGGGAGACAAACAGAGAAATGCAAAGTGTGTCAAATGGAATGGTAAAGAATAGGTATACAATCCATGCAGTGGAACGGCAACTTATAGTCAGTCTCGCAAGGCGTTGATTGCTTGAATGCATGACAGGGCCTGGCAATCTGCCCGACACTACGAGCCAAGTGAGGGAAAATGCATGACTATCCGGAGAAGATCATGGTCTCTGGGAGGCCTGACATGAGCTCCCAAAACCCCAGTAGCGGTCTCTAGGAATTAGTCAGCAAGCTCCAGGAATACCTCAGCAGGGTCCAGGAGCCAGGTGCCCTCTGGGAATCAACCGTCACGGCCTGTGAACTGCACTGCACCGCCTAGGAACTACACTGTCTATCCCAGGGGCATGCGTTCTGCCAGGTGCAAGAAATTGAGATGAGTAAGATGAAGCCCGGCGAGGATCATCCCTTTACATTGTTGAGTATGAGCAACCTAGCATCAACGTACCAGAGTCAGGGCCGGTGGGAGGAGGCCGAGCAGCTCGACATGCAAGTGATGGAGGCTCGCAAGACAAAGCTCGGCGAGGATCATCCTGATATACTCACTCGCATAGGCAACCTAGCAGTGGTATACTGGAACCAGGGCCGGTGGAAAGAGGCCGAGCAGCTCTTTGTGCAAGTTCTTTGTGCAAGTGATGGAGACGAGCAAGACGAAGCTTAGTAAAGATCATCCTGACACGCTGAAAAGCATGGCGAATCTCGCTTGCACTTGGAAATCTTCAACTCGCCATGCCGAAGCGATCAATCTGTTACGAGAGTGCATAGCCAAACAGAAGCAAAGACTCGGCCAAAACCATCCCACCGCGTTATCTATTTCAAATATGTCTGAAATGGGAAACGGAAGCGACACGAGGGGTTGAAGTAGAGTCGGAATCGGATGAAGAGTGGGAAACGGCTGATAGACCTTCCAAGATGGAGCTTTTCCCGCTGGATTGGTCTCCAACCATGACCAGCCGTGGCAGATCAATGAATTCTCCCACATTGCACGCAAAAAATTTGTCGATCTTGTCAAGGAGGGCGGGATCAGCTAGTGCGATGCTGGTTTCCCCTTGGGCTTCCTGCGTGATCGTTATGGTTGACTAGCTACTTTTTCAGATGCAGCCAGACTCCACATTATGGGAGTGGTTTTATTGGGGTTGCCTCACAATGCCTGTAGCCTCACCATGTCTGTAGCCTCACGTGATATCTACACCGACATTTCCGAGGGCCTCTTCCTCCTACAACTGCCTCACGAGAGTCATTTGATGGCCTCTGCGGGTAGCTCGTCATCTCTCAGGCAGTCTAGTGTCAATTTTGTCCCTCCCACCTTCCCTCTGTATATAGAATCCACTACAATACAGACACATTGCCTCCCTTCAAGGGAGCGCGGACGGGGCCTATCTGACGCCACGGTCTACGACCGCAGCGACAGGTAACTCGTTGCGGCCAAACTAAACTCTTCTTGCTCCTCTTGACTGCGTGAGGTCACCAATAAATATACATATTGCAGCCGCACATCTTTTAATAAATAAACAACACATTCCTTTTTGCACTATAGATGCTATGACATCAAAGTGGCACGCGTGCCTTGTATCTCTCTAGTGGCCTCACAAAAAAATGACCAATGAAGTCTACACCGGTCTCTTCCAAGTACGACTGCGCTACATCATGAAACAGATCGGATTATGTCAATTCGAAGTCGACCAAGTATGATACAAATATGAAGCGAATGCTCAGCACCACGGTCACAAATGTAAGTTCCATATTAAGTCAGATAATGTGCGTTAGCCGTTGATCCGATGAAATGACACTGTACACGTACATTGCGAGCGTCCCCTGCCCCGCACCCTGATGAGGCATCCGACACCCTCTAGTCTGCCCCGTTTGAAGAGCGACCTGGTCCTGGGTTTGAGTTTGCGCTCTTTTTGATTGAATGAGAGCACCTGGGAATCTACGAAAGAGCCCAGTCATTCTTCGTCATTCAGCATTTCACGCGGAACATAAATTGCGCCTAAGTAGGCAAGTCAAAGCCCGGTGGGGATCATGCGTTGTGATCAGCTGCACAGCGACGCATAGCTGCTCGTCTGATAAGACACATGACTGCGCGGTAGCTGAGAGATATATTTGATGAGGTGGCCGGAGAAGCGTCGTGTCATGACCCATCACCCGCGATCAGCACGATGGCATTCCCTAGGACAAAGTCAGCAGAGCTTGCTGTGCTTGGAAGAACACACAAGCGCGCTGAGGAGGGCCCGAAGCGAGCAAAGATGAATTTCAGGCAGCCATGCAGGCATGCACGCGACGGCGCAGATGTCACAGGGACTCGACAGGACAATGCAGCGTAGAGAGACACCGAGCTTGCATCTCGCACCACACCATTCTAGCGCAACTCCCACTGTTGTGCCTGAATGACAAGGAACTGAGCTAGATATCAAGCACAAATGTGCAAGAGCCGTTCTTTGTTCTGCCATTGGCAATTCAAAGTGTCGGCCAGACACGGTCATGGCTTCCTCTTCATAGATTCCCACACCTAACCAGAGTGAATTCCAGGGTGAGACCGATATCACCGAGTACCAAATTCTCTGGTTTTTTTTGATTCGCCACTAAATGGGCATGGATTCTGGGAAATTCAAATCGACTTCTCTTCAGCAGCATCGGGGTCGTAGCACGTGTCACGTGAAAACGCCGTTTGAGAGGAAACCATCAGAGCATTCGGGTCAGCAACCAACAAGAATTTCGAGAGATCCAATCCTTTTGAACGGCTCGAGCAGGACCGGAATTTGATCGATACTGCGAGGAACGGCGCAAATTCATAACACCTTACATTAGATCTCCCAGACTTTAGAACGAATGATGTGCTCAAGAGAAGGCTTTCTGAAGGGCTTGAAGTTGGAAGACTATGCAAGCTTCTCGGCTGAGAACACCGATGGTGGCTCCGTAATTGGCCCGGTCAGTTGAGCCAGAGTTGCCGCGCTCGCAGACTGCACTGCATGGCTGGGCAGATGTGGCTTCATGTCACCCACATTTGGACATGATCGATCCACCGACAGAACATCAAGTACCAGCGGGCGCACTCTGAAAAGCGCCACTTGGAAGTCAAGTCCAATCAACCCGTGAAAAGAGCTAGTCCATCAAAATTCTCATTGCCTACGATGATTCACTGTGCTGAAGCTCTACTGAAGTTTCAGCTTTCCGCCTTGTCTCGATCGCGGACTGTTCAAGCACGAGAACGGCGTCCGCTAGCATATCATCGCAAATGTCGAGTGGATCAGGCTCGAATGCACATTTGCTCGACTACTGCAGTGTCCGTGGAGATCGGTGGAAGTCGGGTGCGCGGCAGGTAGTCAGGGTAGAAACTGAACATTTGCAAGCTGAGCTCCTTGTTACGCAAAGATGCAAAACGGTTTTGGCACTTGCACGTTATGGACGCAAACACAGCATCGCATCTCCAAAGCGAGGAATGGTTGGCTACAGCGTGCCTTTCCAACAGTGCTTGACAAGGGACGCTATTGATCCAACGCGGCGGCAAAGGCGGTGAGGTCGTCCCAGCCGCGGGGGCAGCATTGTTTACGAGACGTCCCGCGGAGTTGGTCCGCACATGACACTGGCCTTTGAAAAAAGTCAGTCGACATCAGATCGAAAAGATCTCCTCACAGCTCTTCATACTCGACTTTGCTTAGAACTCGGCTCGCTCTGCTGGCTCCCAGTTGACAATACAACCCATGTATTCGTGGCGCTGCCGATCTCAAGTTTGAGTCAATCAATGCTCGCTCTAG